CTGGATATGCTTTTGGACGTGTGCACCCACAAGAGCACTCAGACGTCCACTGTCTGATTTGTAAAATGGCTTTGGGATTGGAGCCACGGTGTTCCTTTTTAATTATCGATTTCACCCTCCCGTCTCTCTTCCCCTCTCTCACTCTCGCCTCTCCTTTCTTTGACCATTTAGAAGCTGATGCGTGACTTTCTTCTCTCTGTTCCCTTTTTTCAACTTTGTTCTGGTTGTTACAGGGCTGACAGAGCTTAAGTCTTGGTTTGATGTGTCCAATACTGGAAAAATCCCCACTGGGAAAATGATAAACCAGACAGATACTGTGTAGCAACATTTATACGAAGGTTCAGTAATAATAGTGCATTTTCTTAATACAATTTGCACAAACACAAACAATTTAAACCCCTGCACAAGCTAATTAAATATACAGCGCACTGTTCTGACCTTATTCAGAAGTGCTTTCATACTGGTCTCTTTGCAGAAAAGGCCTAATTATGTCCTGAAGAATCCAAATCAGAAGGTGTCATGCCCAATAGACATTGCAGTGTGAGATGACTGACTCGGTCTTGCTGCAATGCTTGATCACCAGTGCTATTTTTCACCAACCTCAGTTTGGAGAAGGACTCGTTCTCCGCTCGCCCGTTTGGTCATCTGGCATAGTCAGGAATAGGCCGTAGAGCTATGTCTGTGTTTGGAACACTGTATGAGTTTTCTTCTTCTTAAGAATTCAGTTAACTCACTGCAGACGTGCTGCTCACGATTATTCAATTCTGTACAAATTCCTGAACTTGTACGCGCCTCCTCGCACAAAGTCCTCCTTCCAAGTCTACTGTTGGTATTTCCATCTGGCAGGCCCTCAATGCTGCTGAGCAGAGTCTTGGGGGGAAAATCAAGTGGCAAAGGTCAATGACATAGATATGCACAGATGTAGCAGAAGCGTTTGCGGCCTGTAGCTCACACTCGAGGCTCAAAGATGATCCAGCCTGTCTCTTTCTTTTTTTCTTTCGCTGGGTGTCTGCTGTTGTAAGCTCAATGAGACACAATGGGGTACCAATGTTCCTTGCAGC